GCTAATGAGTCAGGAAGAATCAGGGTAATGCTTGGCTTTTACTTTCAAAAAGTCAAGATTTGCATTTAATTTCAGCTCTCTATGTCACTCGTAGTTGATAATGTTAACAAGTTGTTTTGACTACAGATCACCTCCACTTATGTTTTGTTTCAGTGTTTTCTAAATTTTGAATCAGATCTAGTAGAGTTCTGGGGTGGGCTGTGGGCTGCCCCCCCCCTCCCAGATTTCAGCTGCACCACCACCCAGGCAACCCGCAGAGGTTGTTTATCAGGAGAAACTGTCTTCAGTGGCTGGCTGCATCTGTCAAGGCTGAGTGTCTGTGACAGAATCACAGGGCCCACCCAGCACACTCCCATTCCCCCATGGACAGGAGAGGGCACGTCCAGGTGTGTACTTTTCAGTGACATCATGGTGCTTATTGGGCTTGACTTATATTCACACGCCCCACCACAGTTGAGGTTGAGCCCAGCAGTTCAGAGCCAACAAATAAGGGGATTTTTTTAAAGCCTTTTACCGCCAGTTGACCACTATTTGGGAAGGTATGTGTAAGGGGGCACTCTGATAGACTCTGATGTAAGGGGGGCATTCTGCCAGACTCTGATATAAGGGGGGACTCTGCTGGACTCTGATGTAAGGTTGGACTCTGCTGGGTTCTGATGTAGTGGGGGCTTTTCCAGAGTCTGATGTAAGAGGGGACCCTGCCAGACTCTAATGTACGGGGGACTCTGCAGACTCTGATGTAAAATGGTGGCACTGTGGGGACACTGATGTAAGGTGTAACTCTAATGTGAACGTGGCGCTCATCCACTTTGAATTGGGGTGGATGGGGAATCACTCCCACTGAGGTTTGCTTGTGCTCTGAAAGTGGAGAGACTTCCATGCCGCTGGAATACACCGGACAGTGCTGCCCAGCTATAGCTGGAGGTGCTGATTTTGAAGAAATTTTCCTAGAGGCTGGTTTACAGAAGTTCATTGGTAGATTGACTTCTATATGACCAGACTGCCCCTACATGGATCGAAATTCAGCCAGTCCCTGCTGAAGCAGATGAATTTTGATCCATGTATGGGCGCCTAAGAGAGAAAAAACCATATGTGTGCATAAAAACATATGTAATGGAAATGTTTAATTTAAAAAAATGATCCTTTGTCCTGAGGTTTATTTGTGTCTGTGAGACTGTCAGTTGTGGCACAATAATTAGTATTTTGTGGGTACATGGACTGTGGTACTCACAGCAGGCACAGATTCTGTTCAATATCCCTTTAAGAACCTCCCACTGGCCAGCCGCAGAACTTATTTCTCAGTTCTTTCCCGTGTCTTTCAGAATCCTAATCTTGCTCACATTTTGTCATTCTCTTTTAACTTTTTAATTGATAACCAGGCATATTACTTGTTATGAGCAGGGGCGGACTGACCATTTGGAAACTCGGGCACTGCCAGAGGGCCCGGGGTCAGTAGGGGGCCCCATGAGATGCCCCTGCTACCTTTTTCATAGGCTTTTTTGAGTTTGGGCATGGACACAGGAGCACCATGATCCCCTGGGGTCAGTAGGGGGCCCCATGAGATGCCCCTGGTACCTTTTTCATAGGCTTTTTTGAGTTTGGGCAAGGACACAGGGGCCCTATGATCACCTATTGCCCCGGGGCCCCATGAGTTGTCAGTCCGCCCCTGGTTATGAGTATTGGTAATATTGTCAATGTTTACATATTGTTTATACTAGTTAAATGCTAACTTCACCTTTTTTAACATATTATATGTCCTGTGGCCTGCTGAACTCCTGTACACTGCTATACTGACCCCGTCTTCCACCCTAATAACCGCCATCCTCTTCCCTGCTGACTGTCCGTCCACTACCCTGCTGACCCACTACACACTGCCCCACAAAATGCTGACCCCTGTCCTCTGTTCTACTAACCTCTATCCTCTGCCCTGTTGCCCCCCCCCCCCCAGTATATTGCCCTACTGACTCCTGTTTTTGTACACTTCCCTGCTCACCTCCTATCATCTGACCCCAATTACATTTTTTACTGTACCCCAACATCAGACTGGCTAGATCTGGCCCCGCTCAGGTTTGTGATTGGTTCATTTAAAATGACTTTATTATGAGACAAGTTATATCTCTTTATTTGTTTTAGGGTATCAAAGCCGAAGCATCAGCATGACAGCCAGGAAAATAACTCAATTGCAGTCCTCATAGTTTTCTCATGATAGAGTCACTTGAAGGGCTGTTGCATAGGACTGGAACCACTGTTGCTTGCTTGCAGCACTGCAAAATGTGATGCAGCTGGACATAAATAGAACAATAAATGATGACATTTAGCAGGGCAACAAAGGCAGCTGTGATTGCAGTCACTACATAGTAAGTACACTGGACACTTTGACAAAGACATACTGGGCAGATGGCACAATAGCAGCAGAGTCCACACATACATGGCCCAACAGTGAAAAGTGTCAAAGAAGGACCCAAGCTATTACATTGTACATATGTTTGTCAGTGCCCTATATCTATCGCATACAGAAAGTTGGTGACAGTGAGCTCTAACAGGAGAAAACACTGGTAATTAGAAAGTGGGGAAATGTACTATATTCACATTGCAGCTTAATAATTCTTAGATGTGATGGCTGCATTAGTTTTCTTTTTAGACTTTCCTTGCTTTATTTTTACATAGTGATCCAGCCAGAAAGTATGTTGTGTTTCACAGGAACGAGCTGCAAATGTAACAATTAGATTGTTGAGGCAAACCATTTACCGCTGACAGGGGTTCTTCCAATGATCAGTTTTTATGTATTTATTTATTTATTTATTTAAAACCTGTATTCCACAAGAAAAAAAGCTGTTGCTGTAACTGCTTGTGTAACTAAGTGTAAACTGGAGTTCATCTTCAGTTTTTTAGTGTATCTAAATCTGCTAGTACATCTAATACTCCCCTACCTGAGACTGATAATGCTGCTGTCCAAAGGTGCCCCTTTAGGCTCCTACATCTAGAGTGGGAGTACTCTAGCACAGGAGGTGTGTTACTGGCCAGATCACCAGATGAAAAACGGAGGGAAAAAATCCAAAAAAGAAAACCAATGCAGCCACCACATGTAAGTGTACCTGGGCACACGGAAGGACCAGGAGGTAAGCTGTGGCTCCACTCTACCCCCCCCCCCCCCCCACTGCTAAGTGGGCTGATGATAAAGTGGGATGTGTGAACCTCCTGCTCCTTTCTCTCCCCTTCCCCCGCTGCTGTGCTGTGGACTGTGTGTGAAGTTCTCTACCCATTACTCCCCATCCCTCCTGGCAGCAGCACCAGTGGTGAGTCAGTCAGCAGCAAGGAGAAGATAATGTAGTTTCTCAGGACACTGGGAGATGTTGTTTTTGTCAAAGCACTGGTTACGGAGGTAAATTGGGATTGTGAACTACAAGGAATGCAACACCCTACAAACAGGGAGGAAGGAGGAGAGTTTTACTGGGTTTTTGGATAGGAAAAGGCTCTCTTGCTGCTGGGGAATGGAGTGGTGTGGACTTGTAGCTGAACCTGTGCAGAGACTAGAAAGCAGAGACTGATCTTTAAGGACCAGATTGCAAAGACTGAACCACAGAGGATCGGGTTCCAGAGAACAGAGACAGATGAGTGTCCAGGACAAGGTTCACCAGGTGCCAGGACTGGTGAGCAGTTGCGGCTATGCTTACTACACCACTGTTAGCAGTTCAGTACAATAGAAGACTGCCAATTTGCCTAATAATCCCAAAGCCAACCATTGCAGATTAAAAAGGGTAACCAAGTGCATCACCGTACAGGTTGGGCCCCGCCATTAGCCAACAGACAGTGTACAGCTACCTCTCTGGGGTACCCCTTTCAGGAGCTATACATACACCAACATTCAGGGGGGTATACATAAAGTGCACTCTGGGACATTTCTTTGATCATTTGTTGCCTAGGTAAGGAACAGTAAGGAAAAGGTCACTGTTATTTCATTCCTGTGAAGACCAAAGTTCAGGGAACCAACATTGAGCGAGCAGGAGCCAGCAGCAAAGAAAGTTGCAAGTGCTGGAGTAAGAATTTTAACAAATAGTTTGTTGGTGAGTGTTTATTTTATTGTGATCAATGTGTTAGGGCTCATGTACACTGCAGCTGCTAAACTGACGTTCAGGAGCTGTTGAGCGTTTTTACCAGCAGCCCCTGAACTCTCCCTAATGTTTTCCTATGTGTCCATGTACACATAGTCGTTTACAGTCATTTACAGGCAGTTGAGTTTACAGTCGTTTTTTTGAACGCACCAAAATTGCATTCAGGAGTAGATTTTACAGGCGTTTCAAACACCAAATGCTTGTAAACGCGTGTAAACGCTTTTGAACGTGGTTAACCATGTTTACAAGTGTTTGTGTTTAGACTAGTTTTTTGACAGGTCCATATCCAGATGCTGTCCAGAGCCTTTTTTTCTTCATCAAAAATGCATGCAAAGCGTTTTCCGTGTATTCAAATGGACCTAGTACAACAGGTTTTACATGAAGGAAAAAATGGTAGAACGTGCTGCATTATGCTCATGATGGGATCCATAGCGAATACAACCAGAAAAGACAGGTCATCTCAACACATACTGCTCTCTCTGCTTCTACTCTCTCTATTTCTCTCAAAATGTCTGAAATAGTTCATTATTTACTATTTTTCAGTGCATTCTGGGCATTTGGGAGGGTCTCCTTAGGTTATCTTCTAAAACGCTTCTAAACGCAAACACACATAAACGTGCATAAACACGGTATGCAAAAGTGGCTAAACTGATGTTTCTTAACCTATGTTTTCTAGCAGTCAATTCCAGTGGTCAGAAGACTTTTCCAAACGCCCCGTGTACGCAAGCCCTTAAACTAAAGAAGCTGAGGATTTAATACTAATTTTACCGCCTTCCGCCCACCATATAGTACAATGACGGGCGCAAGGCGGTTCTCTTGTTCTGGGAGGACTTCATATGACGTCCTCCCATTCTCACTGCACATGCACAGCTCCGGGAGCATGCAGCGTGGCGATGGGTGGTGCGCTGTGTCCCTCGGACACAGCGCATCACCGATCGACAGAAAGAGCCATTCATGTGATCAGCTGTGTCCAATCACAGCTGAATGCATGTAAATAGGGAAATGCCGGTTATCGGCATTTCTCTCCTCATGAGCGGTCACGCTGACAGCTTGAGAGGAGAGCTGGTAATTGGCATTCCTTGGAGGGGACATGTACACTGATCATCAGGGCACTGATGATCAGTGTGCCAGGATGATCTGTGTAGCCCCAGTATTGCCACCTGTCAGTGTCCATCAATGCCACCTGCCAGTGCCCATCAGTGCCACATCAATGCCACATATCAATGCCTACCAGAGCACATCAATGCCACATATCAGTGCCCATCTGAGCTGACTTTTAGTGTCACCCATCAGTGCCAGTCAGTGCCACCTATCAATGCTGCCAATCAGTGCCACCTATCAGTGCTGCCAATCAGTGCCACCTATCAGTGTGCATCAGTGCTACCTATCAGTGCCCGTCAGTGCTGCCTAACAGTGCCAGTCAGAGCCACCTAACAGTGCCAATCAGTGCCGCCTATCTGTGCCAGTCAGTGCCGCCTATCAGTGCCACCTATCAGTGCCATATATGAGTGCTGCCTTTCAGTGCCCATCAGTGATGCCTGTCAATGCCCATCAGTGCCACCGACCAGTGCCACCTATCAGTGTCCATCAGTGCAGCCTATCAGTGCCCATCACTGCAGCCTCATTAGTGCACATCAATGAAGGAGAAAAATCACTTATTTACAAAATGTTATAACAAAAACTAAGAAAAAAAATTTTTTTTTTCAAAATTTTCAGTGGTTTTTGGTTTGTTTAAGAAAAAAAAAAACCCAGAGGTGATTAAATACCCCCAAAAGAAAGCTCTATCTGTCACAAAAAAAAAAATTTCACATGGGTACAGTGTTGCATGACCGTGCAATTGTCATTCAAAGTGTGACAGCGCTGAAAGCTGGAAATTGGCCTGGGCAGGAAGGGGGTATAAGTGCCCTGTAGGCTTATGGTTAAGGTAGATCCTGGAAATCATCAACTGATTGAATTAGTGCAGTTCTGGAGGTCTGGGACATGAGCACTGCATGTTTTATAATAGGTGTCTGTAAATTCCCATACTACCCAAGGATATCATTCTGTTTACAAATTGTGCCAAGGTATTTGTGCACCGCATTTAATTACGGTATTTCAGATTTTCTCTTGGAGCGCTAAAACCAGACTTGGCTGCACAGGTCTGTAACAATGAAAGCTTGGAATCTGGCACTTCTCGGCACACTCAATTATATTACGGTCTACAAAGGATATGTTTGGAACACAAGTCTGGCAAATTGATGTGTACTAGGAACCGAATCCACTCTCTCTGCTGCAAAAATTAGCACAGCACTGGTGCACTTAAGACAGCGGAAGAAAGGTCAAGTCAAGGTTAATAACATTTCTTTGCATTAGGCAGAAAATATGGCATTCCTTAAATAGTTCAAGCATAATAAAGTAGTAGATTGCAGTGCTGGCACAGGATCACTACACTGGGAAGTAGTGATCAATATTCCATCACGGTGAGAGGGAAAAAAAAACTCCAGAAAGGCTTAATTAGGACGGCATGACAAAAACAAAATGGGGACTGAATAGCGGAACAAACGCTCCCAGCTAACAAAATTAGAACTACTTTTGTTCGTTAAGGATTTTTATAATACAATTAGGCTCCTAAACAATATTATAAAATGAGTTTAGAGCAGCTATGTTTAGAATGTGATTCATTAGAACTTAAAATGGAAGAGTTGCAAAATCATCCTAGATAATAATCCCAACATGGTCCAACATCCGGAATTCAATATTTGGTTTTACTGTGAATGTCTTTATGAATGGAGGCTCATTACCATACTCCAGCAGTACTGCAGAGGCAATAAACAAATGTTATAGATCTGCAATACAATATTCTTAGTGCATGGCTGAATTGTAATGATGTTTAATAGGAATCTTTCATATGTCTGTAAAAGTATACCAAGGTATTAAGAACATCACTGCTTTAAAGTGGTTGTAAACCCTTACATATACCCAGAGAAGTGACTGGCTTCAGGTGATACACAGAGATGAAACAAATCCTCCTACATAAGTTGTACCTGTCTACGTATCTGTAGTCTTCTCTTCTCTACATCTGTTCAAATTGCTGAATTTATAGAGTTTGTCTAAGGCCTCATTCACACTAGTGTGCAGAGATGTGAGTGTTTCTGCATGTCTTCAGTAAAGGTGCAAAGAAAACCATTGTTCTCTATGTGCCCTGTTCACACTACAACACTAGTATCATGTGCAGATATATTGCAGCAGATTCCGTGCAGAATGTGTATAAAACTCAATAGAATGCATATGAAAATTGATGTCTATGCAAGTGAAATCTCCACATTTTTTCCATCAGTATTTCTGCAAAAATGGTGTGAATGAGGCCCTAGAGTTCAGAAACAAGAGGGGTGGAGAGCTGAAATCACACTCTGCAGAGCTCAGTGAGAAGAGTTCTGGTAGCTGATTGGAGGGAAGGGACAAACCCCTTCATACAGTTCACTGGAACAGTGCTGAGGTGGTCAATCTGCTGGAGGTCCCTCTTCTGTCACCATTTTTCTCTTGGTGTCAGGAAAATTTGACATACATGATTCATGCTGATAGCAGAGAAACAAAGCAGCAGAGATAAATACTTGTTTTGTCCTTATTTCATGTCTGAGGTTTAAAACCACTTTTAATTAGAATGTATTATATGTGTGGCCTTATCAACTTTAGACATGCTCATCTCTCTTTTTGGATGTGTGTATGTATATATATATATATATATATATATATATATATATATATATATATATATATATATATATATATATATACATATATATATATATATATATATATACATATATATATGCAGGACTTCTCCAGGACTTCCCCCATCCTCTGGAATTCACTACCCCAATCCATCAGACTGTCACCTTCCCTCCTCACCTTTAGGCACACCCTGAAAACCCATCTCTTCAGGGAAGCCTACCCCATCCTGACCTAACAGCCAATCTACACTCTACACTCCTATTACCACTCCATCCCCCTCAGCCATTTTCTCCTGTACCACTATCCCCTCCCTCCTAGATTGTAAGCTCGAAAGAGCAGGACCCTCGAATCCCTAGTGTTTTGTCTTGTTACTGTATTGTCTCATGTACTGTCCCCCACTATAATGTACAGCGCTGAGCAGACCTTTTGGTGCTATATAATGTATTATAATAATAATAAATATTTATATATATATATATTATATATAAAACTATCAAGCATATAAATAGGATTAAAACCCATAAAACAGCAATAATTGGCATGTAACACTTGCCATACACAACTATTTTTATTTAAATAATCCCCTTGTATTTTAAAGAATGAGTACACTTTCACAAAACTAAATTTAGTACCACCCCTTGCCTTTTTCAGCACCATTGCAGTCCTGGCCAAAAGTTTTGTGAATAACACAAATAGTAATTTTCACAAAGTCTGCTACTTCAATGTTTTGAGATTTTTTTATCGGATGTTACTATGGTATACTGAAGTATAATTACGAGCATTTCATAAGTGTCAAAGGCTTTTACTGACAATTACATTAAGTTTATGGAGAGTCAATATTTGCAGTGTCAGAATTTGTGGAGGGTTTCTTGTTCACCTGCCCAGGGGCAGACTGACAACTCATGGGGCCCCCGGGTAACAGGGGATCATGGGGCCCGTGTCCTTGCCCACACTCAAAGCACACCCAAAAAAGCCTATAAAAAAGGTACCGGGGCATTTCATGGGGCCCCTACTGACCCCAAGCCCTCGGGCACTGCCCGAGTGCTCGAATGGTCAGTCCACCCCTGCACCTGCCTCTTGAGGATTGACCACAAGTTCTCAATGGGATTAAGGTCTGGGGAGTTTTATGGCCATGGACCCAAAATATTGATGTTTTGTTCCCCAAGCCACTTAGTTATGAGTTTTGCCTTACGGCAAGGTGCTCCTTCATCCTGAAAAAGGCATTGTTCATCACCATGGTTGGGAGACGTTGCTCTCAGAGGATGTTTTTGTACCATTCTTTACCCATGGCTGTGTTCTTAGGCAAAATTGTGAGTGAGCCCACTCCCTTGGCTGAGAAGTAACCCCACACATAAATGGTCTCGGGATGCTTTACTGGTGGCATGACACAGGACTGATGGTAGTGCCCACCTTTTCTTCTCTGGACAAGGTTTTTTCTGGATGCCACAAACAATCGGAAAGGGGATTCATCAGAGAAATTTACTTTGCCCCAGTCCTCAACAGTCCAATCCCTGTACCTTTTGCAGAATATCAGTCTACCTGATGTTTTTCCTGGAGAGAAGTGGCTTCTTTGCTGCTCTTCTTGACACCAGGCCTTCCTCCAAAAGTCTTCCCTCACTGTGCGTGCAGATGCACTCACACCTGCCTGCTGCCATTCCTGAACAAGCTCTGCACTGGTGGTGCCCCGATCCCGCAGCTAAATCGATTTTCAGAGATGGTGCTAGCGCTTGCGGGACTTTCTTGGGTGCCCTGAAGCCTTCTTCACAGCAATTGAATCTCTCTCCTTGAAGTTCTTGATGATCCGATAAATGGTTAGGTGCAATCTTAGTAGCAGCAATATCCTTCATGTGAATCCCTTTTTGTGTAAAGCAATGATGACTGCACATGCTTTCTTGCAGGTAAATTAATATTTGCGTTATTTTCAAAACTTTTGGCAAGGGCTGTATACTATACATCAGTCCCTAGATGTCCTTAGCTTTTCAGCATGCTCAGAGATGCATCTTTGTTTACCCTCTTGCTGTGCATTGGGATGTCAGTGGTATATATACGTGATTTTCTGGGTAGGGTACGCGTACGCTGCCCTACCCGTGGTGCCATTGGAGGCTACAGATGTCGATCACTGGGTCCCGGATGGAGATTCCCTGCCGGCACCCAGCGATCGCCGAGAAACAGTGACAGGGGAGTGTGTGTAAATAACACAGGTCTCTCCTGCTAGCAGTAACATGCTGCTGTGTATTTCTCTGCACAGCATGTCTCTCTAGTAAAATACACACCACACAGTTAATCCTTTGATCACCTCATATATTAGCCCCTTCCTGCCCAGTGTCATTAGTACAGTGTCAGTGCTTTTTATTAGTGCTGATCACTGTATTAGTGTCATTGGGATGTCAGTGGCAGTTAGTCGCTGCCATTACTAGTATTAAATAAAAATAAAATTTCAGTATATAAACCGCCAATTGTAGATGCTATAACTGTCGTGTAAACCAATTAGTTTACATGTATTGGAATTTTTTGTAGCAGAATACATTTTGGCCTAAATATATATGAATATATTTTATAGCAAAAAGTAAAAAAAAAATGCAGAGTCAATGGCATACCACCAAAAGAAAGCTCTATTTGTGGAAAAAAGGACATAAATGTAATATATGTACAGCGTTTCATGGCCGCGCAATTGTCAGTTAACCACCACCTCCTGCCCGTCCGCCTGCCTGTAATGTACTGCAGCCGGGAGGCAGCTA